AAGCTTGGGAAAGTATCGTTCTAAAGCATTTTACAGGATACTATCTGAATTGGCTCACCTGCTGATGAATTTCCCAGGGAACCAGAACAAATGTTTTTACAAGCTATTTTATTTTTATGTAATAAAAAAATGTTATTTGCAATAGTAAGTCTTTAAGCTTTCTACATTCTACTGTTGAAGTTTCTTTACCAGGATTAACTTTGGCAGCCACAAAGGAATTGTGGATATTACCTGGATCAGCTCACCAGCTGACGAAACTCCCAGGGATCTACAGCAATTGTTTTTACAAGTGGTTATTGACCTCTTGATAATAATAAGGGCAAGGGATCCAATGAGTGCATTGTGATCTTTGCGGGTGGTCACAGTCACTGCACTGTGCTAACAGTGGACCTGAGAACTGAGTGATCAGCACTCTTTGATTACTTAGTTCTCAGTGTAGAGCTGGCTGGGGACAGCTACAGTATCGGATTGATGCTGCAGCCATCTGAGTGAGTATGAATGGTTATTATTTTATATTCCTGCACTTTTCTTTAAAGTCTTTTAGCTTTTCAGATTCTACTTTGGGAGTTTCTTTATCCGGACTAAAGTGGTTCTAAAGGTAAGGTTGAAGGTTTTTTTTATCTTCATGTATTGTATGCATGAAGGCAAATAACTTTTAGTGTGCAGTGTGCAGCTCCCCCCCCCTTACTTACCTGAGCCTGATCTCCATGTGCAGCAGCTGCTCTCCCGACTGTCTCCCTCCTCATTGGCTCAGAGACAGCAGTGGCAGCCATTGGCTTAGGAGCAAGCTGCTTGCTACAGGGGCACTCAGCAGGAGGGAGGAGGCAGGAGTGAGGGCAGGGGACTCAAGAAGAGGATCGGGGCTGCTCTGTGCAAAAACTTTTACAATCATTTTAACTGTAGCATCCTCTAAGGCAGGGATGTCAAACTGGTGGCCCTCCAGCTGTTGCGAAACTACAAGTCCCATCATGCCTCTGCCTTTGGGAGTCATGCTTGGAACGGTCAATCTTGTAATGCCTCATGGGACTTGTAGTTTGTCAACAGCTGGAGGGCCACCAGTTTGACACCCATGCTGTAAGGCAGGGGTGTCAAACTGGCAGCCCTCCAACTGTTGCGAAACTACAAGCTCCATCATGCCTCTGCCTTTGGGAGTCATGCTTGTAACTGTCAATCTTGCAATGCTTCATGGGATTTGTAGTTTGGTAACAGCTGGAGAGCCGCCAGTGTGACACCCGTGCTCTAAGGAATTGAAGATACTACCTGGATGGCTCACCAACTGATGAAACGCCCAGGGAATCCAAGCAATTGTTTTTACAAGTGCCTATTGACCTCATAATAATAACGAGGTCAAGGGATCTGATGAGTGCATTGTGATACTTGGCAGTAGTCTTGCATCTCATACGACCTGAAACTTAAGGTTCATGACAAGAATCAGAAGAGTGCTGCTGGTGTTATTAAAGTTCACTTTAAATACCTAATCACAGGGGCAGCACAGTGGCTAAATGGTTAACACTTCCACCTGGCAGTACTAGGGTCATTGGTTCAAATCCCAGCCACGGCACCACCTGCCTGGAGTTTGCATGTTCTCCCTGTGCCTGCGTGGGTTTCCTCCGGGCACTCCAATTTCCTCCCACACTCCAAAGACATGCTGGTAGGTTAATTGGATCCTATCTAAATTGGCCCTAGTATGTGTATGTATCAATGTAAGTTAGGGATCTTAGATTGTACACCCCTTGAGGGTTAGGGACTGATGTGAATGTATAATATATATATGTAAAGCGCTGCATAAATTGACAACGCTATATAAGTACCTGTAATAAATAAATAATAATCATTTGCATGGCAAGTTAGAAAGAAAAAAAAAGTTGCTTGCACATTAGTGCATGGTTGAAGAGAGAGCAGTGTCATTCTCTATACTAGGTGAATACTCACTTTGCAAAGTGAAAGTTCTCTACTTCTTTATTAAATCAATCCCATTGTGATTAACTTTCATATCCTTAATCCCATACATCCTATCTGCTATAATTTCCTTCTACAGATCAAACACACATTATTAACATGGAGGTCGAAGAACAAAAGCTATAATAAGTAGTGGGGTTGATTTACTATGGACAAATAGACTGTGCCATCTACCAGCACAGTTGCACTCTGTAAGGGCATTTGCTCCAGAGCTTAGTAAATGAGGAGAAGCTTCCCTTTGAAAAGAATACCCGTTCACATGCAAGAAAAAAATTCAGTATTTTTGCTTGCACATTATTGGATGATGGAAGTCAGCAGAGCTCTGGAGCAAATGCCCTTGCAGAGGACAACTACACTTGCAAGGAGCACAGTCTATTTGCCTTTAGTAAATGAAGCTCACAATCTAAGGTCCCTATCCCACATTCATATATACTATAAGATAGATAAAGATATAAAATATAATTCTGACTCTTTTTACAGTATACCAAGTGGATCAGCTCACCTGCTGGTGAAATCCCAGGGAAACAGAATAAATGCTTTTATACACGCTTATTTTATTTATATACAATAAAAGGACTTTATTTGCAATATTAACCTCCCTGGCGGTATGATTATTTCAGATTTTTGGTGCTGAAAGCGGTACCATTTTTTTTGCATGGAAATATGTATTTTTTTTATTGTAGGCTGTAATTTTTAGGAAAAACTCACTTCTGTTCAACAAGAGTCTAGTAAACATCCCGGGTATGATAAAATTTGAAACACAAAATCATAAATTATAATTTAATAAATAATCATAAAAATAATATAAAATTAATAAATAATAAATTTAATTCAATAATATAATCAAACCAAAAACACTGAAATGTGAAATAGAGCGCCAAGTTCGCACATTGCTGAGCTCAGTCGCAAAATCGTTTTCAGTTTCTGATGACGAATTTCCCCCCACGAATCATTATCACTCAATTCTGTAAGTGGTTCTGATTTACTATCGCTGTTCTCTAGCTGATCTAAACCGCTTTTGACCTAAAGGGACACTTTTTGGATGCCATGGACATTTCTCAGTTTCCAGGCAGAAAGAACAGACAAAATGCAGGCAGGGCACAGGACAAAGCACTAGGGAATAATATGTATGTGAAATAGGTTGAAACAGCAATGTTTTACTGCTGTTAAAATGAAAAAAAAAAAAAAAAATGACATTTTTTAAAATTTTTAAATTTCCCGCCAGCGGCGGCGCCCGTTACGTCCCGACGTCACAGGGACAGGACACAGAAGCCGGATGCCGGCATCGGCCGGAGGAGATGGCCGGGACGCTGCAGGGGACACATCGTGGGAGCGCAGGGTAAGGTAAGTGAAGAACACATGCCGGAGCAGCGCCGCATGGTAAGCCCGAGTGTAGCTCGGGGTTACCGCTTTTGGTACTGAAATGTTACCCCGAGCTACACTCGGGAATACCGCCAGGGAGGTTAATTAGACATGTGCAAAACAAAAAAATTCCTTTCGTTTCAAAATCTAACAAATTTCGGGGAGTTGGATTTGGTAAATTCGTTCAATTCATTTTTGGGAATCGTTTCGGTAATTCGTATTCAAGTTGAAAACATTTCGATCAAATTCAAAAAGTCGTTCGTATTCGAAATCGGTTCAACCGAATTCGAAATTGATTCAACAAAATTTTGAAAAGTTCGAGATCGAAAATACTTCAACCGCATTCGAAAAAATTAGAAACATAATGGGGAGCGGGGGACCAGTCCTTAAAGCAGAACTTCCCCTTTTGGGTGGAGCCCTGCTTTAAATTTGTTTTATTTATTTTTTTATTTATTTCAGGTACTAATATAGCGCCATCAATTTAGGCAGCACTTTACATATATATTGTACATTCACATCAGTCCCTAACCCTTAAGGGGTGTACAATCTTTCGAATGTTTGTTCGATTTTGTTTTCGGATTTGTTTTTTAATCGAATTTCGGCCGAATTTAGTTTCGTTATTTCGGATTCGTTTAAATTAATTATTTTTTCACTTGTTATTCAGATACATCTGAATCTCTGAATAATGAAAAAATTCATACGAAATGCGATTTGGAACTAAACGAACCGCACATGTCTAATATTAATTCTTTTAGCTTTTCAGATTCCACTGTGAGAGTTTCTTTACTGGGATTAACAGTGCCAGCCACTAAGATTTTTGTTTGGTTGAAGGTAATGCAGCCTCATAGCATTCTGTATGCTGATTCTGCAACAATTTTTCCTGAGAGTTTATTATGTTATTAGTCTCTAAATGACTATCATTTTTGCAATTTATTGTCTTTTCTTTCTGTACGGCACTTATGTATGCAGTTTATTTTCATGTTTTCTCATCAGTACATATTCTGTATTATCCATCGAATCTTTTGCATGTTATATTCCTGCTGGTCATTGCGTATGTTCTTGACTGATTCTCTGCTGTTTCCTATTCTATAATAAAAAATTCTTTGTAAAAGAAGGTAATGCAGCCTCACTATATTCAATAAAAAAAGTCAATTTTCACTTTGCCAAAAATTCTCTATTCCTTTTATTAAATCATTCCTATTGTGATTTATCATTTTTAGTTTGCAATCCCACTTTTCCTATATGCTAGAATATCCTTCTGCAGATCTAATTTACAATATTAACACAGGACTAGCAGGATAAAAGCTATAATTACTGACGGACACAAACCTCCAACGCTTTTTACAGGATAATTGCATGTTCTGGCATGCTTGAACTACTTAAGAAGTAACATAAGCAAAGAAAGGAAGCCAGTAAAGTTTTAATTAAAAAGTAAGCTTTGTCTTCTACTTTTGGAGAGGGGCAGATTTTCTGTAGAATTCAGGCACTTCACAGGGAGGAGGTGGAAAGGGTTAAGCTCCCAGTTCCGGTCCCTCCCAATGGGTGGGGGGATGTTAGCAGACAGTTCAGGATATATAAGCAGCTCCCTAGCTGGTATTCCACACCAGTTGTGACTGTCACAGCACTAAGCAGCAGCTTCTAGCTTCACTTGGTGATCACACTGCCCAGATACCGGCACCATGTCCACCTCCTTGAGAGTCAGCCCCTCTGTACATGGCTACCGCTTCGATACTGCCAACCGCAAGAAAGCCACGGGCAACATCTTCGAAGGGGTGGACCAGGACTCCCTGCAAAAGCTATTCAAAAAGACCGGTGACAAAAAGGCAGAGGACAGGGCAAGGATCATTTTCTGCATTGATCAGGACAATGAGGAGAAAGCTAGGGCACTGCTGGCCCTCAAGCAGAGGACCAGGGACAAGATCCTTCAGTTCCTAAAGCTCAGGAAGCTGCCTATCAAAGTCATTGTCTGAGGCCATTGACTGCAGAACTTGCACTCTAAGCACAGAAGTGACTCCTCCTAAGACGGGAGAAAACCGGTGAAGTCGGTTGGCCAAGCTTGTCACCGAATTCTATGCCTGCAATATTGATGGGACCGGTCCGCAGAGCTTGCGATCCAACCTCAAGAGACTGTCCTGATGAGTCTGAACTTTTAAAGAGACTGTTTCAAAGGACTGACAGTTCCCTCCAGAGAAGGCGAGAGATGTCCCCATCACGTGGGTGACTAAAGAAGAGGTGCCTTGGCTGAGACCTATGAGATGGCTGGTGGCACATGCCTGTGCCCTGTAAATGCTCTTTTCATGGACAGTATCCAGTACTGGGGACACCAGCCCCCCATGTGAGCAGAGAGAGCACGTAGAGGACTGAATTGATGCTAACATAACTTTTCTTGGTGCTTTATATCCTAACACAAGCTATTTATTATTTGTGTGCTAGATTTTAATAAATTATTTTTGAATTATTCAAATTTCACTTGTATTTCTATTATTTATGTAGAAGTATCAGTCAATGCTATTAGATATATGGTTAATAAGATAAAAATGACACATGATGCTTTTAGTGCACTGCAAATGGTATTTAGTCACTGATTCTGTAGGAGCTAAGCAATTTGTGTATTTTCAGCTGTTGTGGAACTACAAGTATCAGCATGCTGCCAGGACAGCAGCTGAAGATACAAAGGATGTCACAGTCTTTGATGTAATACTTTAGGTATTGTAACTGGTGGTACATACAGGAAGGTATGCTTTGAAAGGTATAATACTGGCAGTGAAGTGTCAATAAATGTGTGGGATGTGTGCAGATTTCTGCCAGTACAGACTCAGGAGAACTTAAAAGGTGTATACTTTGGTTTTCATGAACATCAGTTTTGTCATGGGAGCCACAGGTTCAGAAAATCATGTTGCAGACCTCAACTGGTATTAGGTCAATAAAACTCCATACTAAACTCTATACTAAAAACAGATGGTTCTATTATGTTTTTTAAACAAATTGACAAACAGTGTTCATGATAATATAAAAATACAAAAAAAAACCTAAAATACTACACTATACTAAAGATGTTGCTAATATTTCAATAAAACATCTGTCAAGCAAGGTTCCTAATAATGAAGAAAAACCTGAAAAACTAAAATACTATACTAAAAAATGGTGCTATTATTTCAATACATCTGTCAAACAGTATTCATAATATTAAAAAAAATACTGAAAAACTAAAATACTATAATAAAAAAATGGTGCTATTATTTCAATAAAACATCTGTCAAATGGTGTTCATAATAATAAAAAAATACTGAAAAACTAAAATACTATACTAAAAAATGGTGTTATTATTTCAATAAAACATCTGTCAAACGGTGTTCATAATAGAAACAAAAATAGTGAAAAACTAAAATACTGTACTATACTATACTAAAAATGGTGCCATTATTTCAATAAAACGTGTCCAACAGTGTTCATGAAAAAAAAAAAAAAAAAAAAAACTACACTATACTGACAAAAGGTGCTATTAGTTCAATAAAACATCTGTTAAACAGTGTTCATAATATAAAAAAACCTGAAAAGCTAAAATACTATACTATACTAAAAATGGTGCTATTATTTCAATAAAACGTGTTAAACAGTGTTAATAATAATAATAAAAAAACTAAAATACTATACTAATAGAAAGATGCTATTATATCAGTAAAACATCAATAAATGTTAACATTTCAATAAAACAACGGTGTTCATGATAATGGTACCTTTATATAAAAAAGCAGTGTTATTTTAATAAAATATCTGTCAGTGTTCTATATTAAAAAAATAAAAAAATATATATATTTTATATATATATAATAACACTTCTGTTATTTAAAACAGAGTTCAAGATGATGTTTTTTTCTACACAGAAAAAAGGTGCTATTATTTTAGTAAAACAATTGTCATTTAAAAGTGTTCATGATAATTTAAAAAAATAAATAAATAACACTGTTACTTTTTGTTACCAATGTACAGATCCAGTGCAAAATAGAAAACTGTTACATCATCACCTGGTATTCCAATATGCAAATTATTTTGGGGTAATATAAGGTAAAAAATACATACTGTAACTATATATACCTGCCTATACTTTCATCAATAAAGTCATTCTGTGTACAATTACCTTTATACCTTCTACAACATATATTAAAAAAATCAGAAATCACTGTTCAGGTAAATGAGGTATTTGTGAATAGGGAATCACAGCTCACAAAAATATTACAGCGTAACCAGGGGAGGACTGACAACTCATGGGGCCCACGGGCAATAGGGGATCATGGGGCCCCTGTGTCCTTGCCCACACTCAAAAAAGACTATAAAAAAGGTACCAGGGGCATTTCATGGGGCCCCCTACTGACCCCGGGCCCTCGGGCAGTGCCCAAGTGCTGGAATGGTCAGTCTGCCCCTGGGCGTAACTCATGGTCACACTTGAGTTGTGATGTATTCTCTTAAAAAAGCGAGCCATGGCAGTATACATCTGACCATTCAGTGAAAGTTGAATCTCGGCTGCAGATGGATCATCAATGTGTTTATTGTCCAAATATGTAAGGCAATGGGTTAAATATACAATATAGCACTGTCCCAGCAGGTGTATCTTGGGACTTGTCATATATCAACTATGGTAGCTACAAAGACCCTGACATATGACAATGTCAGCACTAAGAACTGCAGGTATCATCTAATGGTCACCAATGAGGGTCAGACATTCACAGCTATGATTGGATGAATGTGATAAAGTGATTCTACCTGTAAGTATTACCACTTCCATTCAGGTCCCTGGAAAGGAGAATATATGATGCATACCAAAGAACACTGCTATCGATCTGACTAAATGGCCTGGCTGGGATATGTGGTTCTACAGTGAAAAGTCAAAATTGTCATTTTATATACTGTAAATCGTACAGAAGGACTGAGAGAGTGACATCTAATAAACATGTGTCTTTAAAATACTTTCGTTTTGCAAACTCAAACTATTTATTGAATATTCGTGGAATGAGTTTGGTGACCATCTTCAGATTCCTTATTTCCCTTACATTACCGAATTTACATAGAATTCTCTCTAGGTACCAGCATTGCAAAGTGTATGTAAAACCCTAAATCTATTTTTCTGTATGTTTAGCATCGTCTCACTGTGTACACTGTGTACAAAAGCCAAAGTTCAGGCAATTTTTTACAGTTACATTGGTCCAGCCTGGTATAGTACATATCTGTGGGATCTCCTGGAAGCTGGACATTGCTGAACTAGGCACTGCAGTAGGCACTATAGCTTCTGGGTCCCATGCCAAGCACTCCCCTGCTTGCTGCTTACTGGACATGGGCACCATTCAGAGAACATCATACATTTTCTCAACAATGCAAAGCATTCTCTGATTGGATGAGGTGGAGATCAAGATGTCACCACCCTGCCTCTCCACCTTGTCTGAACAGAGAATGCTTTGTATCCATTCAGAAAATGCCAAGCGATCTCTGAATAGTGCAAATACTGAGCGGCCACCTCCTGTGTACACAAAGCAGAGGGGCAGTTCACTCGGCAATGGAACCAGAAACTAGTAGAAATCACTCTAGTGGTGCCTGCTACTGGAATTTCCTGCTTCCATGGGGATCCGATAGGTATGGAGCATACATACGTACATTGTTCCAAGTTGAACCAGAGTAACTATGTAAAAATTGCCATACCTAATTTTCAGCATTCAGCAAATCATTTGTATGAACTTGTTAAAAAGCTTTTTATGTGAAGATCCTGCCTTTCACAGCACTTCCTGTTGCAGGCTTGTAAGTGGGGGGTAGGTGAGAGGTCCTACCCCGGGGTGGGTTCTTCTGGGCTATGCTGGGCACCCTGGACAGGGCTACTGCCTTGCACTTGGGATACTTGTGCTGTGCACATCAATGCCCCGGGAAAGGGTAGGGGTTGTCTTCAGGGATAACTTACCCTCTAGTTCAAAGATGGCCTTACACTGTGTACACTTGAACAGATGACTTGACTCTAGTTAACCCCTCAGCCCCTTGTCATGGAACACCACTACAGTCACATGTTGCACTTAGGAGGGAAATGCTGAGCCGATGCCCTCTCCACCTGTCCAGAGTATCTCCACTACCTCACTCGCAGTAATGGAATGGAATCCCACCGTGGACCTAGCATGGACTCTGTGCATACACTCACTTAACTCTTTCACTTTCATTCCTGTGTCCAGGTTGGGGACCTCTGAGCACTGATCTGCTCCCGTTTGCTATGGGAAGCGGATCACCAGGGAAAATAATGCTGACAACAACTCTCTCGCTGCAAGAGGTTGTTCAGCCTTTCACAGGTACACGCTTCAAGAGAGGTTACTTGTTAGATCTTCATTACCCTTGGTTGCCACTTCTTGTGGTTCATGTGCTTACTGACCCATGTTGAAAATCACATGTGGGTGTCTGTTACTTACATACACCCCTTTAGAATAACTGAATAAAATAGTGTTGCGGTGTCAGGAAAACACTCTGTAACCCTTGGAAGACATCCCGCCGGACGAAAAGTGCGTAGGGCAGAGTTTAGCAGTGACATCATCACGCCTGCCCGGAGAGTCGGCAGTGCTGTGCAATATGCTTGTCATACTATCTGTTTTGTCAGTACCGACATGGTTTAATAATAAATGCTTTTAAATGGTACTTCACTATGGGATTTCCTTGCTCTTTGCCTGGTATGTGTTTTTGCTGCTGAGACAAGTATATGAGAAGCAATCCAGTGACCACTTTTGGGGCATGTGAGAGTAAGTGAGAGAGTGAGGCTTGCTGAGGTGTGAGAGGAAGGTGGGCTGGAACCATCCATCCGGGATTTGTTATCTTTGAAATGTTGATTTAGTTCTCGTGAGTTGTGGGGTCCAAGGATTTGGTGAGTAAGTGGCATTATAATCAGTTGGTAGTTGGTGCACAGCAGCTGCATGATGATTTTGCACACTTTTGGTGGACTTTTATATTT